TACGAAGTTATACGACCGCGGCGGTCTCCATCTCCCTTCGCTGCTGCGCCCCCCCCAGCACGCGCGCGACGCCGGACCCCGCCAGGCGCAGCGCCGCCAGCGAGTCGGTGAAGAATCGGGCGCGATCAGCCGCCGCGGCGCGCGCGGCCTCCGCGGCCACCGCCTCTGCGCGCGCGGCGTCGAACGACCGCCGCTCCGCCTCCAGGCGCTCGCGCTCGCCGGGCGCCAGCCCCGCCAGGCGCTCCGGTGGGAAGGGCGCCGGGCCGGCGGGCATCGCGACGCCGGGCCCCGCCGCCGCCGCGCCCCCCGCACCCGCAGCATAGGTCGCGCGGGGTGGCAGCTCGCCCAGCGCCCCCGCGCGGAAGATGTCGCTGCCGCGGGACTCGCCGCCCATCGCCCCCAGGTCCAGCGTCCCGGCCACAGGCGGGAACTGGCCGGAGGGCAGGGCCTCGGGCAGCGCCCGCCCCGCCTTCACGTGCTCGATCAGGTACAGGGCCTGCACGAACTGGTGGGAGGAGAGGTGTCCTGCCGCCCCCGCCACCAGGTCCCAGATGCGCTTCAGCGCGTCCTTGGGCAGCCCGCTGCGCATGAAGACGCCGAAGCAGTCCACGCCCTGCACCACGCCGTTGCGGTTGGCGTCCAGCTGCGCAAAGGCGGTGGAGAAAGCGGCCACCTGCTCCGGAGCTAACGGCACGAAGCCGGCGCCGGCGGCCGCCCCGGGCGACTGCGCGCGCGCGGGGGGCGGGCGCGGGCGGGGGAGCCCACCCCGGCGCCCGTCGCCGCTGGGACCGAGATGCCGGTGGGCACGGCCAGGCCCTGCAGCGTTTGGGGGGGGAACAGGGCCGGCCAGGCCATTGACCAGGCGCAGGGCGGCCTGGTCGTCCAGCACGCCGCCGTTCAGCTTTGTGAATTGGGGGGAGGGTGGAGGGGGGGAGGGGGAGGTTTGAGGGAGAGTTTAGATGGGAGGGCAGGTGATGGAGAATGGCTTGGGAGCCATGGGACGGAATGGAGTCAGGGACACACGATGGCCGACCCGCATGAAGGCCACCGCGTCGTGCAACCGCAGCAGGTCTGCTAGCAGATGACCCGCCAAGTCAGGCCATCTCAAGACTGCGCGAGATTGACTCTATTCCCCCGTCATACCACCAATGCGTCACAAACAGAAAACCTCGGGTACCTGGGCCAGGGAGACGAGTTTCATGGCGGTGTAAAACTCCCTGCGGTTCAGTGAGGGCCGGTCCCCCGCGACGTACTGCCAGACCTTGAAGAGGGTCGGGTTGGTGGGGAGGCCGGACTTGGAGAAGAACTTGACGGCCTCACCCCCTGAAACGACACCGTCCTTGTCGGTGTCCGCCAGCACAAACCACTGGTTGTAGAGCCTGGCCACGGGGAGAGGTGGGGCCCAAAGGACTGTGAGTGAGCAGCATTTGTACACCCTGATACGCAATGATAACACGTCATCGGAGGATTCGGGAGTCAAAAGCCGTCCGACTCACTCGAGCTCCCCACGGTTCTCCGCCATGGTGGCAGATCACTCCCCGGCACTCCTGGTCGGTGATCCGAAAGCGAGGAGAGCAAATACTCTTTCAGTTCAGATCCAAATCAGGGAGCAGCACAGAGCAAGTTTGGGGTGGGTCTAGGCGACAGGACGTTGCAATCAGCGCGTTCTCGGTCAGATTGTGTTTGTTGGTGATGCGGGAGACTGGGCGGTACCATCAGTGAGACACCCCTCTCGCAGCCTGGCATGATTATAACCAGGGCACGTAAGCTCCAATCCTGAAGCTTGAGTCCGACATCTGAGCATACGTTCGGACCTCGAAAAGTGATCGTTCGTGATCACCGGGACCGAGGGTGCCATGGTAGCGGCTGAGGCGGACAAAGGGAAGACAGGAAACAAGAAGGACAAGAATGCACCAGAGGCGAGACGGGGGCGCTTATTATTTGTATGTGCGTGCATACGAAATCTTCCACCTTGGAGGCCGGCGCAAGGCATTGTCCTTCGACCCCTCGATGAACTGATCGAGCCCTCGATCACTCGCCCGCAGGAGGAGGAGCTGTCCGAGGAGGACTTGGCGCTGAAGGAGAAGCTAGAGCAGTGGGTGGAGCAGATTAAGACCGGAGACTCGGACGCACAATGCTCTGCGGTGGAGGGCATGAGTGTGGAAATCAGGTGCAGGGGGGTGGAGGCTAGGGGCCAGGGAGGGGCTCGGTGATCAATGGTAAGAGCTGCCACACTGCCCATGGCCTGAGGCCATTACGTCTATCTAGTCACACAAATGCACGCTGCATGCAGGTACCTAGGCGGGTCCAGCCCCACTGCCGTGCGTCAGCGGTCTGCCAAACGTCGAGCTCACAGGACCCTGCCCCATCCCCCTCCACCCCACCGCAGGTCTGCCACCAGCACGATGACCTCTGTGCCGGCGCCACTCAAGTTTCTGGCCCCGCACTACGCCCCCCTGGAGGCCACGCACGCCGCGCTCCCCGCCGGCCACCCCGCCGCCGCGCCGCTGTCGGACGTGCTGTCCGCGCTGGCGATGACCTCCGCGCCCGGGGGCTCCCGCGCCTGCCTGCGCTACAAGCTGACGGGCGCGGCGGGGGGCGTCGTGGGGGAGAGGGGGCACGAATACGTTCGTCACCTGTCGGGGGAGATTGGGGAGGAGGTGGGCGCGCGCCGCGCGGCGGGCGAGGCCGTGGACGACCTGCTGGCCCTAGTGGACCTCATCGTGCCCTACGACATGTCCCACAACGCCGGTGCGCAGGGGGAGGGGGCCTGCGTGGGTGTGGCTGCTTTCTTATGGAGGGGTGTGTTGGCTGCCACGGCCCCCCGCCTGGTGCTCGGCAGCCAGATGCCACAACCGTCGCTGCCCTGCAGCGCGCAGATGGCCACAGCCGCCCTCCGCTCCCCCTCCCTGCCCATGCGCCCTTTCCAGGCCCCTTCCTACCGCGCAGTCGTCAACCTGTCCCCGCAACCCCCCCTTTCACACAGAGCCGGACGCCATTGACCTGCTGCTGGAGGTGGACCGCGTGGCGGACCTGCCGCGCCACGTGGACGCGGGCAACGCGGAGCGCGCGGCGCGCTACCTCCAGGCCTGCGCAGCCTACCTGCCCGAGCCGGAGGACGAGGCGGCGCTACGCGCTGTGCACGCCGTGCACATGCGCGTGGGGCGGCACGCGGGCGCGCTGCGCGTGGGCCTGGCCCTGGGCGACGCGGAGCTGGTGGGCGCGGCCTGGCGCGCCGCCGCCGATGGCGGCGAGCGCTGCCAGCTGGCCTACATCATGGGGCGCGCCGGGTTCGTCCCGGACCTGGAGGAGGGGTCGCTGGCGGTGGCGGACGAGGCCCTGCGCGAGCGCTACTTCTCCTGCTACAGGTGATTGCGGGGGGGTGCTGTGTTGTCTGTCGTGTGGGGGAAAAGGGACGGAGCGGAGCAACCCCGACATGATGGAGCGGTTTTACGAGGCGGGAAGCATGCCCTGAGCATGTTTGGGCACAGCGTCGGGAGGGGAGCGGGGTGCGGCGCGGGGGGGGCATGGGAGCGCTGTGCCCAGGCCGCTGCCGTGCTGAGCACGACAAATGGTCGTTTGTGCGGCACACTTCAACTTTCATCCAGTTTGCCCTGACAAATCCTCATCTCAACCTCACCACCCCCAGCAACTCGAGGCTGCCCGAGCTGTATGCCGCGTTGGGGCGGGACCTGGATGTCATGGAGCCCAAGCTGCCCGAGGACGTGTACAAGATGCACCTGGTGGAGGGGCGCGTGCCCACAGGTGGGCAGGGGAAAGAGGGGGTGGCTGGTTGTTTCTGGGGCTGTGTGGGCGAGAACGCGGTCGGGAAAGCGGTCACTGTCCATTTTCTACCTGGTGGGAAATCGTGGTGGAGCCTGTGCCAGTCAGTTTCCGTCCTGGTCCTCGCCGGCTGCTCTATCCTTGTCAGTCCTCCCCACTACAAGGCAAGATGCCCCTCCTGACCGCCATTCCACCCCCACAACTCCATCCCCAAGGCCCTGCGGTGGACTCGGCACGTGCCAACCTGTCGGCCACCTTTGTGAACGGGCTGGTGAACGCCGGCTTTGGCAAAGACAAGCTGGTCACACCCGGGGTGGAGGACGACGCGGTGCACTGGGTATTCAAGAACAAGGACCACGGCAAGCTGAGCGCGGCGGCCTCGCTGGGCCTGGTCATGCTGTGGGACCTGGAGGGCGGCCTCCCCGCCATCGACCGCTTCCTGTATTCCAACGACCCGCACGTCGTGGCGGGCGCGCTGCTGGGCATCGGCGTGCTCTCCTGCGGCGTGGCCGACGAGGTTGACCCGGCCCTGGCAATCCTGTCGGAGTACGTCGGCGGCGCCGAGGCCTGGCCACGCATCGGCGCCGCGCTGGGCCTTGGCGTCGCCTACGCGGGACGCGGCCGCGCCGACGTCGCCGACCTGCTGGCCCCCATGGTGGCCGACCCCGACACGCCCATGGAGGCCACGGTGGCCGCGGCCCTGGGTCTCGGCCTGGCCTTTGCCGGCCGCGCGCACGGCGGCGCGGTGGAGGCCGCGCTGCAGGCGCTGATGCTGCGCGGCGAGGCAGAGCTGGCGCACCCCTTCGGCACCATGCTGGCCCTGGCCCTGGGCCTGCTCTTCCTGCGCACGGGCGAGGCGGTGGAGGCCACGCTGGAGGTGGTGCGCACGCTGCCCCCCGCGCTGGCCGAGCCCACGCTGGCCACGCTGCGCGCCTGCGCCTATGCCGGCACGGGCGATGTGCTGCACGTCCAGGCCCTGCTGGCCATCGCCGGCGGCGCGGGCGGCGGGGCGGAGGGGGCGGCGGGGGCCGGCGGCGGTGCCGCTCCTGCCACCGCCGCGGCGGCGGGCGCCAAGGCCCCGCCCGCGCTGCAGAGCACAATCGCCGTGCTGGGCGTGGCGATGGTGGCCTCGGGCGAGGAGCTGGGCACGGCCATGGCCTACCGCGCGCTGGAGCACCTCCTGCAGTACGGCGAGCCCAGCGTCAGGTGGGGCTGCGTTTTGTTTCCGCAGGGGCAGGGCTGGTCCCCCGAGTGCCCATGTGCCCCGGAGGGGGCTCACACAAACCCGTGCGAAACACACCACCCCCCCTCGCAGGCGAGGCGTGCCGCTGGCCCTGGCCCTGCTCAACGTGTCCAACCCCGAGGTGGGTGTGATGGACACGCTGTCTCGGCTGAGCCACGACGCGGATGCCGACGTGGCCGGCTCGGCGGTGCTTGCCCTGGGCTTCGTGGGCGCCGGCACCAACAACGCGCGCCTGGCCGGCATCCTGCGCGCGCTCTCCTCCTACTACCACAAGGAGCCCACGCTGCTGTACACCGTGCGCCTGGCCCAGGGCCTGACCCACATGGGCAAGGGCCTGCTCACCCTGGACCCCTACCACGCCGACCGCGCCCTGCTCTCGGGTGAGGAGGGTGGGGGGGGAGTTGGGTGTGCTCGTGTGGGCATGAGTGTCAAGTTCTGATGGGGTTCCACCCGACGCATGCCGTTCCGTCGGGTGTGATTGTGAGGAGGGAGTGCCTTTTCAGAAAGACACTGGCTGCATGGCACGAGGGGAAGGGCTGCTCTGACCTCGTACCCCTCTGGAGGCTCGTGCACCTCGGGACCGGCCCAGTACACCCACAGAGGAGACTCCCCACTTCACTCCTCACCATGTGTTTGCTGACGGAACACGCCTCCCACCCTGCAGCCCCCGCGCTGGCGGGCATCCTGACGGTGCTGTTTGCGGGGCTGGACATGAAGGCGTGCCTGGGCGGGCGCCAGCACTACCTCCTCTACGCCCTGGTCCCGGCCCTGCACCCGCGCATGCTCATGACACTGGACGAGGAGGGCAAGCAGCTCTCCGTCCCCGTGCGCGTCGGTGCGGCGGTGGACGTGGTGGCCGCCGCGGGGCGGCCCAAGACCGTCACCGGCTTCCAGACCCACACCACGCCCGTTCTGCTCTCCGCGGGCGAGCGCGCGGAGCTGGGCACCACCAAGTACCTGCCCCTGACCAGCGTGCTGGAGGGGGTGGTGGTGCTCAGGCCCAACCCGGACTGGGTGGAGGAGGCGGAGTGACCCTGCGGCATCCTGCTCCTGCTGTGAACCAATCCTGGACTCGCAGGAGCAACCCGGAGGCGGGGGCCAGGATCCGGGCAGGGCGCGGTGTGAGAATGGACATTCGTGGGACCGATCATTATCAAGCAAGCAGGGTGGGAAGCCTGACGATAGCGCCTGACACAGATCGGCAACACGACTCCTCCCCTGGGGAGCGGGCGACGTATGTCGAGGCGGTAGAACAGGGTCGCGCAGCTCGTGCGCAGGGGGGTGGGGGCATGGCACCCCCGAGTCAGATCCGCAGGCACGATCGGGTGGTGGAGTAGTTGGGCTGGGTGCGTGAACGAGTCCCTTGAACATGGATCTCAACCCCACCCTGCCTGCCATGCCCTCTCCAGGGCTGCCCCACCTCGGCCGACGCTGCTGGTGGGGGACGGGAGCCTGGAGGCATGCCGAGATGCATACGATCGCCTGCAGCGCAAGGTGCTGGATCTCCAGGTCGTCCAATTTGGTCTCGATGGGAAGAACGAGCTCCCTGTACCCCCAGGTAACGCGCGATCGCGAAGTAATGCTCGTCAGGGTTTGCGAGGGTTCAGCCATCATGAGACACCTCCCCATGCTCCTAACAAGCAGGGAGAAGCCCCTGGAGCGACCTGGTGCCCCTGGCCCGATCTTTGAGAGAGACCATGACCTCCCTGCATGAGAGTGGGGACCTGATGCGCCAGGTGGGCGGAATACTTGTGTTGCATGGCCAGGTGGGAGCGCGGGAGAAGGTTGTGACATGTGAAGGCATGCCATGCCCATGCTGCACAAGCTGACGCCCAACATCCGCTGAGCACGCGCCGCACTGCGACATCATCAGGTGTACGAGCTGTCCCTGGACATCTGCGTCGAGGCCCGGGACCTGGGCGAGACGCTCAAGTGCGCCCAGACCCTTGTGCACTCCCTGTACCCCAGGGCGGCGGCCGCCTCGTCCTCACCCGCCCCTACCGCGGCCTCTGCACACGTCGACGCGCAGCCCTGGGCGACGGCGGCCGCGGTGCTCACGCTATGCCACGCTGCGCTGGATCCTCGCGGGACGGGGGGCATGACCACCGCGACCAGCCTCGCTGCCCTGCCGGAGGCCGTGCTGCGCAGCCCCGAGGTGCGCTGCGCGCTGGGCATGCTGTGCGCACTGAGCCGCCGCGACTGGACTGCCCTGCTGTCCCGCGGCGCCGGGGCGCCCAGGCGGCTGCGCTGCGTGCTGGCGCAGCGCCTGGCGGCGGGCAGGGCCGAGGCGCTGGCCGTCCTCTGCGCCTCCTACCGCTCCCTGGAGGCCGAGGCAGCGGGGCGCTGGCTGCAGTGCCCCGCCGCCGAGCTGCCCGCCCTCCTCAAGGCCCTGGCGGATGGGTGAGTGGGAGGGCGGGCAGCTTGATAACTAGGTGCATGCAGTCATTCGGTGTTCTCCATTTTCCGAGATGCCTAGCGGGGAATGACATTTCAATGTGGCGGAAATGGATGGGAGGTATGTGGAAGCGGTCATAAGATCATGAAATTGCCAACCCATACCAATGGGGATCATGCCGCCTGGCCATGCATGCTGTGGCGACTGCATGCCAACAATCGTTTCCTTTCCTACTGCCCTGCAGGGGGTCCCAAACTGCCCAGCACGCCCTTGATGAGATGCAATGGGAGGACAAAGGAACCTATGTTCTCTACTTCAAGTCCTGAAGTGTGCTTCAACCATGTACACAAGGGAAGGCACACCCTGTACCATCGTGTGCTTTTGTGCCGATCAGCTGGCTTCATGTGCATCGCATCGGGCGCAGTCCATTGGTATATGATGCAGCACTACTTGTATTGCATCGGAGGCTCGTGTTCATACATTTATTGCACAGAATCAAAGCTTTACCGGCCAGGTCACTCTTCGTACACCCTGTATACGATGGTGGTTCTCCCGCCATCATGTCGGGAGTTCGCATCGGGAAGGGTTCAAAGTTTGTTACCCGACAGACAACGGCGCGAACGTACGAAGCCGCCCATGCACAGAGCCAGGAGCCCTGAGCTATCGCAGAGGCGGTCGTTATCTCCTCGAACCTCTGTTCCCAGAAGGAGGCGTCCTGTGGCGGACACACCGTTGCCCCGTACCTGACTGGCAGAATGCTCAGCCGGAGCTGGGCAGCGGCCCTGTGCCTGTTGTGTGCCGGCCTCGTCCATGCCGAGGAGGAGCTTCCATGCTTGTCATGCGTCCTGTACTCGGCTGTCGACGCGACAGCCCTCCTGAATGAGGTGCGGGAGCTGATTGTTCAGTGCTGTTGGGGGAGTGGGGGGAAGTACCATGGGATCGCAGCCGAGACCTGCTCCGGACCAGGTGGTATCCCATTTCATTCTCCAAAGCCTGCTCATCACGCTGCGCCCTCGCCATCAACCAATATACAGATCACTGATTCTGGGGACACTGTCTTTAACACCAAGCTGGCTTCTGGCTGGCAGCAGTTTGGACAGGGGGCTCGATTCCCCGTCCCCATGAATGTGGTGGAGAACCGCAACGACAGCGACAACAGCATTCCCCGAGGTCTCCTGACCGCCACCGTTGCACCCTGGGGAGAGTACAGCCTGGGTGCCACCGTCCCCTTTGCCGGGGATGGCCTGCTCGAGCTGTGGATCAAGGGGAGCGTCATGTTTGGGGCCGCCATCCAGTTCCGTGATAGGCGTACGCTCCGGTCCTCCAGGTGAGCACAGCACAAGCCGCTGCATGTCATGCGGCCTGAGTACTTGAGACATGCAGTGTATCGTGACTCGGAGAGGGCTTGCCACTTGCTCCAGCCCCACCACGACTTGATCCTCCCTTCCGTAAATCCGCAGGCCGGCCTCCCTGAACAGCCGCTTCAACCCCACCACGTTTGTGGTGCTGGGCCCCGACGACAGCGGCTGGTTCAGAGCCCTGGTGAGAGCCCACAGGCCTGACTAGGTTGCACTACGTCTGAAGCATGTTGATCGTGACGAAGCATGAATTCTTGCCTTGGAGTGACCAGTTTCCCTCCCATTTCTCTAGGTGAATGTCACAGCCGCCACGGATGTTCCAGGCTATTCCTGCACCAGCAACACCTGGGACACCATTTCCTTTGTCGACATCTCAGGTGGGGAGGTGGGAAGCGGCCTGGTTCTACTCCCGACCCTCCGGCCTGCCATGGCAGACCACCGGGTCGCAGCTGCCACCTGCCCTCCGCACTCTGGCAGCCTCTTCCCCTACTACACTCTACTACCTGCAGCGCCAGTCTCGACCCATTGCCAAGCAGCCCACCCCACCTCCCTCCCACCTCCGTTTTGCAGGCCAGGGCTTTGCCCTGGCGATCGCCGAGGCCAACCTGTTCCCCGAGGAGCAGGAGGTCCAGACGGAGTCGGCGACCACAGGCATCCCCGCCTCCCCTTCCGACGTCGCGATCAACTCCGCCAGCGACCTGGTCCCCCTCTACGGCCCCTCCGGCGAGCTGGTCATCAACACGGGGGCGTTCCCTGACAGCTACGACTTCCTGCTGGCCCTCAAGCCCACCGCCACCTCCGGCGACGTGGCCAGGATCTGCAACACCCTGGCCGGCACCGCCAGCGGGAATGTGGCGGAGTTCAGGGGGAGTTGCAATGCCGGGCTGCAGGCCCAGATCCTGAACGCTGAGATCGACTCGGACTCCCCTCTCAGCTGGCCCTTCACCAGCGTCACACTCAACTCCGAGGTTGGGGGAGGGGAGCGGCTGGAGAGGAGGGTGAAGGGCGCGCATGTTGTGGTTGGAGATCGGAAAGCAGTGTGCCCAGGCATCCGCGGACACATCGCGGTTTGAATCCAGCATGCGGTGCGGGGGCAGTGGCTCCCTGGGTTTCAGAGGCGGCCGCATCGATCACCTCGCCTGACGACACCCCCACCTTTGCCTCCCCGCCCCCACCCCCCAACACCACCACTCTCCCCTCTCCACACCAGTTTGACCTGAACAAGATGCGGCAGGCTGTGGGGAGCGTAGTCCGCTACATCGAGCGCGACCGCATCACCGGCATCACCGACGTCGACCTGCTGACGGAGGCCGGCGAGGCGGGGGGGGACCCCGCACCACGCAAGGAGCTGGAGGGCACGGTGCGGCGGGCGCTGCTCAGGGCGGCCACGCCCGAGGTGGAAAGCTTGGAAGAGGGCAAGCTCGTGGCGAACGAGGTGCTGACCGCGCAGAGCGACCCCATCCCCTGGGGGTGCGCAGTGCCTGGGCCATTCTTTTCAGAGGAGGGGGGATACCTAGGGCGCTGGGAGGTTGGGTGGGCCCGACATCGGGTTGGGGGAGGTGAACACGGAGATGCCGTCTCCTGGACTCCTGCTGATGACGAGGGAGGATGCTGACCAGGATGCCGGGCCTGGGCTCCCCTCCTGTCCGGGCGCCTGTCTGCCTGACGCAGGCCGTGGGCCCCCTCCTCCGCCCTTGCAGGCTGGACCGCATCGACCAGGGCGCCCTGCCCCTCAACGGCGTGTTTGACCCCGTGGGGGGCGGCGCCGGGGTCCACATCTACGTGCTGGACACGGGCCTGCTTTCCACCCACGAGGACTTTGTCGGCCGCGTCGGTGCGAGGGGTTTGCCGGATGCTGTGGGAGTGGGGAGTGGGGTGTGTGGCGCTCCCCTGCCCCTGGCTGCCCCTGGCTGCTGATGGTGAACACATGAGCACCCTCTCCATCCCACAACGCCCATCCGACCCTCACACCTCCTGCCTCAGGCGAGGGCGTGAACTCTGCGGGCGGGGCCGACACCAGCGATGGGCAGGGGCACGGCACTCACGTCTCCGGCACCGCCATGGGCACCCGCTACGGCGTGGCCAAGCAGGCCATCATCCACCCTGTGAAGGTGCTGGGCGACAACGGCGCGGGGTCCTACAGCAACGTCGTGGCGGGGCTGGCCTGGGTCAAACAGCACGTGGCCGCCAACGGCTGGCCGGCGGTGGTGTCGATGAGCCTCGGGGGGGCCTTTTCCCCCGTCATCAACGATGCAGCCGCCGACGTCATCGCGGTGGGTGGATGGGCTGGGGGGTGGGAGGCAGGGGAAGGGCGAAGGGTGGTGCATCCAACACTTCCTACTCCACACGCCTCCTTCTGCACCATCCCTGCAGGCGGGCATCCCCGTCGTGACCAGCGCAGGGAACGACTACGGCGGCGACGCCTGTTCCCAGAGCCCCGCCTCCCTCCCCGGCGCCATCACCGTCGCCAGCAGCGATGACATGGACATCATCTCCGCCTTTTCCAACATCGGGACCTGTAAGGCGGAGGAGGGGGATGAGGGGGAACTTACACAGCACGAGAGTGAATGCAGCCTGCTTTTCGGGGCACAGCTCCTCTGGCCCTGCACCATCCGAAGTTGCAGCCCAGGCCGTCACGTTGCCTTGGTCTCCTGGCGGACGATTGTGCGTCATCCCACCGCCCTTCCCGTCCCCCACCGACCACGCAGGTGTGGACATCTTTGCGCCCGGCTCCGACATTACCTCCGCAGGCATCGCCTCCAACACTGCGTCTGCGGTGCTGTCGGGGACGAGCCAGGCGGCACCCCATGTGACTGGCGCTGTGGCCATCATCCTCGGCCAGAACCCAGACCTCACACCTGACCAGGTCAAGGCCAGGCTCGTGGCAGGGGGGGCACCGATCTCGTTCAGCCCCTCCACCGCCCCCGTCTTCCTCCAGGTGAGTTTTGCTGGGGCCAGGGGGACACCCTTGCATGTGAACCCCCCGCAGCCCTTATGCGACTGCTCCCAGCCTTCACCTCACCAAAATTCCCCATGTGATCCACTAACAGACGCAGGCCAACACTATCTGATCCAGAGAATGAGGACCGGCAGCTGCTGCACTGAGATTTTGTCCACTGAGTATGTGCTGACTGTGTGCACAGGCTGCCGCCAAGCCAAGCTCATGCCTGCAGCTCCCCCTGTTACATTTCAATAAAGCAGCACGTGAGATGCAACAGTGTGCACGGATCGCTTGAATCCGTTTACGACCGACATCTGGAGTCCAGGAGACGAGGCCTGTAAGCACTGATGCGAGACCACCACAGGAACACCCGCCGCCAGGCGCACCTGAGATTTCCTGATGCACGGAAAGGATAAGGCGCCGTGGTGGTCGTATGTATGATTGAGGCCACCCAGCACACCTGTTTCACCATCTGTCAATCTGTTAGTCCAAGTTTCAAAGAGGGATCAGTGCCTGTCACGTAAATGACCACCACCGCATGTGCCCAGCAGAGCGCTCCTGCCCACGGCACCGGGCGGCAGCCCCAGCTTCGTGCTGCGATCGCGACCACAACACCGTCCCACAGCCTGCCGCCCTCGCACCAACCTCTCAGAATCAGTCGTAAGATGGCCATTCTCAGCATTGGCGCCGGATTCGTCAGTCTCAGCCGCTCCCCCGCAGCACATCGCTCGGTGAACAGCGCTGTCCACAGATTCGGTGCAGGAGCCGGTCGGCAGATATCGCAGCGACCCGGCCAGGCGTACATGTTTCAAGGCTTCCCATTCAATCTCGTGAGCAAGCTCGCATGCAAGCGGGTTGTCAGGGGGAGCATGCCCTGAGTGTAGGCCAGACCGGGAAGTGATCTGCCTGTCGGTCCCCAGACACCCCCCATGCACCTCGCTCATCTCCTGAGCCTCACGCTTGCTGCCCTCTTCTACATCCAGTTTAAGGGTCGTGACGCCAGCATGTCGGCCGGAAAGGGCGCCACGGAGCTCGCCCCAGCGCAGGCCCCGGCTGGGCAGAGCATAGCCACCTTTGCAGGTCTGGCAGAGGAGGCACGCATCATTTTATGCTGCGATGCCCATCTTGGGCATGCTGTGGCTGCCAGAGTGGCTGAGCCTGCCTGGCAAAGCTCGTGCTTGAGCTCTCCCCCTTGCCTCCCCTCCCCCAGGCGGCTGCTTCTGGGGCCTGGAGCTGGCCTTCCAGCGCGTCCCGGGGGTGACCCACACCAGCTCCGGGTACACAGGGGGTGAGGTGCCCTCCCCCAGCTACGAGGCGGTGTGCTCGGGGCGCACAGGGCATGCTGAGGCCGTGCAGGTCTACTACGACAGCTCCACGTCGTACCCCAAGCTGCTGGACTGCTTCTTCGAGCATGTGGACCCCACCACCCTCAACCGCCAGGGTGGGGATGTGGGGACCCAGTACCGCTCTGTTATCTACTATTACGACGACGCCCAGAAGCAGGCGGCTGAGAAGGTGCGGCGGAGGGAGGGGTGTGGGCCGGGCCCCAGCTGGAGGATGGCGTGTTTGCCGTGAAGAGCGAGGCATGCTTGGGAACGCGCAATGCACATCGCTGTCCCAAGCCCCTGGTCATTTTTGGTCGTGGCGATCGAGTGGGTGCGCGTTGCCCCATCCATGTGCAGGCCATCCAGGAAGTCAACGGGAAGCTGAAGGCGGGAACCTTCCGGCGTGTGGTGGGGAACAAGGTGGTGACCACTCTGGAGCCTGCCACTGACTACTACATCGCAGAGGACTACCACCAGCAGGTCCGCCGGAGTCCCCTGGTGCCATGCCTGCGATGAGCAGGTGACTGGCATGCGCATGTGTATTTGGCCTGATCTGGGAGTGTCCCAAAACCCCTCGCCTCATTCCATCCAGTCCTCTGCCTTTGTCATCTGCAGTATCTGTCCAAGGGCGGAAGGTTTGGCTCGCCCCAGAGCGCGGCCAAGGGCGCCACCGACCGCATTCGCTGCTATGGATGATGCGGAGAGGCCGGCTGCCCGAATGTTGGAAGCCTGGGCCGTCAAGAGACTGCTGCACGTTGGCATGTCTGCACTGCATGCATCCCTATTCTCATTCTTGTCAGTGTTTTCCCGCCATCTTGCTTGGTGCATTGAGGCGTGTTGTCATGCCCCATCATTTGATGGCAGTGGTTCACGAGGGAAAAGAACCCCAGTCAGCATCACAGCAAGGCGACGCAGGCCTGCGCAGAACTCACATGGCGGGGGTGGAGCAGGCTGTCGGCGGAGGACGCAACGGAGCTGACGCCGGCATGTCGCTCTTTGGGCCCCCTGCCCTGCTGGACCCGCCACGCCTCCAGCTCCGCCACCAGCGCCGCGGTGGGCACGTGCGTCTGCGACCCCGGCGCGCTCGCTGCCGCCGCCTGCACAAAGGAGGCGCCCTGCAGCAGGTTCTGGAGCACGCCATTGACCACGGTGGCCTGCTCCCGAAAAACAAAGTGGGCGCCGTCAAGGAGCAGGAAAGGGGCGCGCAGCCGCCGCGCCAGCTTGGCGCCGTGCCGGGGGGCGGCCACGATGTCGTCCCTGCCGTGGATGACCAGGCAGGGCATGCCCGCGCCGCGGATGGCCCGACACTCCTTCTTGCTGAGGCTGTGCCTCCAGACGGCCTGCAGCTGGCCCTGAACGAGGGGGATGTGTTCAGTGGATGGAAGGGGTGAGACAGCCTGCCAGGATTTGTCGCTGAATTTCTATTGGGTTTGGGCGTGGGATCGACCAGGAGGGCCACATGCACTTGATGGAAGCCTCGTGATGTTGTTGCATACACCAGTGCAGGCACATCCGTCCACAGGATCAGGACCATGTAGCCTCGGCAACATACCGTCATTCCGTGGGCTGGCTGGGATCCGTCACCCTGGGATGCTGCAGCCAGATACTCCTCCAGCAGCAGCTCATGCCTGTGGGGCGGTGGGAAGTGCATGAAGCTGGGTGACGAGGGGGATGCTGATCAAAGCTCCGCAGGGCCATTCCCGCACTAACCGGTGCCAGTCAATCTCCCCTCCTCCCCCTCGACCAGGCTGACACAGACTAGTCTGCCCAGTCACATTTGCAATTGCTCTCAGCAACCCATCCCACATACACAGCACTGCAGACCCCACCTCGAGACGTCAGCCCGCGCGTCCTTCTGCTTCAGGGTCCGGGGGGAGTAGTGGAACTTCACGTCCAGGGCTGCGCGCTTTGCCACGCTGCTCGCCATCCACAGCTGCAGGCCCAGCCAGAGGGAGCGGAAGGATAAGGGAATGGCCTGCCAGCCGCCCCCCGTCCCAGAGATGAGCGTGAGGGAGGCTGTAGCATGGGGCCAGGCCGCTGCCAGCTTGGCGGCGACCATGGCCCCCATGCTGTGGCCCACGACGTGCACGCTGTCCCAGCCTAGCGCTTCCAGCACCGCCATGCAGTCTTCGGCCATGAGGGTCGTGGAGTAGGCGGAGGGGTGCTGCGGCGCATCGCTGGCGCCCACCCCCCGGTTGTCCAGGCACACCAGGCACCCCTCGCTCAGCAGGCCGGCCAGCTGGGGGGCCCACGTTATGTGGGACGCTGCAAAACCCATGATGAGCAGGGCTCGAGGTGTGGGAGACCTGGGGGTGGGTGTGGAGGGGAGTGAGGCCAGGCCCCGGGTCGGCCTCCTCCAGGTCTCTCAAGGACCGCGCCGCACCGCCACTCGGAAGCCAACCCTCCGACACTGCCCATGCATCGCCGGCGTCCAGCCCGCACATGCCGTCAGGGCTCACCCGTGCGCATTCCTATCGTGTCCGTAGACATTGAAAAATATGCTTGTGCCGTCCTTGGAGAGTACGTGCGGCATGCAGGCAGGGAGGGGTCCAACGTGTGGAGCTCGTGGGGGCTACGAGCTGGTCGCTTTCCTTCCTACCGAGTCTTTGTCATGCTCAAGCACCGAATCTCTACATGCATGCCAAGTCTATGATTGTATGTGTGTGAACATTCGAGTGTCTTCGAGGCAAGATTTGTCAATGACGGTGTGCCCGCCATGTCTCGTGGGATTTGGAGCGACCAGCAGCAGCCAGGGACAGGCCAGATGCTGAGACTGGTTGACCGGTCCAGAATGGTCTTGGCCCCCCTCCAGCGATAGATTCTGTTACATAAAAGGTTGACCCGTCATGCCTGATCCAGCATTGGCGTGGGCTGAGTCACTGCAGGGCCGGCAAGGTACGCCGTGGCGATCAGGTATGCAGGGCTCCCATCCCCGCGGGTCTTGCTGGTGACGATCAGGGGCAGCTGACTCAGCAGTCTAAGCGTGAGCGGGAGGCATGCGGACTCCACGCCTGGAGCGACCACGACCGGCCGCAGTGCCTTGGCCCACTCAGCTTCAGCCTCTTGCTGCCCCGCCGACAGCGTGAGCCGCCTAGAAGGGTTTGATCCAGGGAGGGTGTGGGGGAGAGGGGTTCATGGGCGTCGATGCAGCACCTCGTCCTTGTCAATGCCAGAAGGACACTGCCAGAAGCGATGACCGCACGGCACGGCAGGGCGGGACAGAGGCACCTGGCACCCTTGCCTGGTGCTATACAGTCCCAGGCAACCCCTATACAGTCCCAGGCAACCCCCCTCCCTGCCTCACATGTCCTGCTTGTCCCAGGCACCGACCACGTTCCGTGGGGACGGCCCCGGTGCGACCAGGTCCGACACCTGCACCCTCAGCTCCTTGCCAATCAGGGGAATGTACACGTCCAGATAGCGCGGGCCGCCCACGCCCACCACCACTGTGGATTCAAGGCGGGAGCGCGGAGGGGGGTGCGAAGATGGAGCTGGCAGCGCAGGTGTGAGCGCAGCTGTGGCATGACCAGTTCCCACCTGCGATTTCTCGCCACACGGATCCCAGCCCGCGTCGCCAGGGACCCCCCGGCACACACCTGCCCAGCAGGCGTGCGGCTTCCGCTCCAGCATCTGCAGGAGGTGTAGGTACAGGACGCCGTCCTGTACCGCCTTGGCAGCCGACTTCCTCTCGTTACAGTGCAGCGCGATGCGCTCCAGCTCCTCCGCCTCCGGGCAGCTGCGCGGAGGGAAGCCAAGTGGGGGGGTGATGCGAAGTGATGGGGCGACGCCGCGCGGCACGTGCCTGCGGACAGAACCATGCACACCCCAGTCCCACATTCGCCGACCTGAGCCTTTCCCCCTCCCCCAAATAAGTCCTGGGCAAACCTCACACCCCTCCCCGCCGACTGACCCCCAGCGCTGCAGCGCCACGGCCGGCTCGGCGCCCGCCTCCACCTCCAGGGCGGCGGCCAGCTGGCGGTGCACGGCCACGTCTGGGTACCGCCGGATGGGCGAGGTGAAGTGGGTGTACCGCGGGGCCGCCAGCGCGTAGTGCCCCCAGCCGGAGGCGTCCTCTGACGTGCCCGTGCAGAAGTAGGCTGCCGTCTGCTCAGTGGATTTGTGGGTGCGGGGTGGCTCGAAAGGGGTTGGAAGGGGCATAGAGGAGTGCGACCTGGGCAGTCTGTGGGCCACATGCCTGGGAGCACCACGCCATACTCTTGCCCTCGGCCGGGACCAGACGCAGCGCCAAACGCTGCGCACGCACACTGGGGCTCATCCCACGCATCCTCTGCCGATGAACACGCACCCCTCCACCCTCACCGTCATGGGCTTGGTGACCATCTGCGTGACGGCGCTGACAAGGTTTGCATCGCTGTGCGTGGCACGCAGCCGCTCCAGTGATGCTTGCAGGGACCCTGCGGGGGCAAGGGACGGCAGCCTCTGGTGATCCCAGCTGCAGCGGGGGGGGCGCCAGAGCATCGGCTCTGCACGCTGCAGGCCGATGAGGGGTGCAAATGACATTTACTGGAAGGCGGCGCGGGGGCAAACCCCCCAGTGCTGAATGTCGGATGCATCAGCAGTCCTCGCGACGCCTCCTGTTCGTGACAGCAGCAGCAGCCATGCCCGGCACCTGCTGTTCTGACGTCCAGGGTGACATTCAGGGCTTCCAGCTGCCCAGCCAGCTGCGTGAGCTTGGACGGGCTCGGCGCCGGATGGCGGCGCAGCAGCGCCCTGCGGTGCGTCGGAGCAGCGGCGCCGGCTTCCTGGGCTTGCCACGTGCCCAGAGCGGGGCAATGCAGGCCATGGATCCCTTCACAAGGAGTCAGTGCACCCTCGCATCAGATGGGCTGTGCCCCAACATGCAGAGGGCGCATCGTTCTTGCTCTGGCCCAGCATCGCATGCACCGGCCCCGGCCCCGGCCCCGAGCATCCCCACCTGTCTGGGAAGACATCGGCGATCTTGTTGGCTGCAGTGGTGTTGGCCAGCAGCATGAACTCCTCCACCAGCCGGTTGGCATCCGTCTGCAGGTTGACGCAAGGGGAGGCTTTGGGGGGGTTCCAGGCACCCAAGGCAGCACCAATCGCACCTCGCAGCATGGAGCCGGCCAGGGCGCCAGGCATGCAAGAATGCAGGGCCTGTCCTGCACACGCCATCAGGTGGGATGCGGACAGTCTTGCCTGGATCTCGGCGATAAAGTCCACGGGGTTCCCAGCCTTATCCAAGGCAAAGAACAGCTTGGTGTTGTCGAGCCGCAGGGCTCCTCGCTGAAAGCGCGCGGCCCTCAGGGCCTTGGCCAAGGCGTGGAGGGCCAGGCAGTCCCTCTTTATCTACGGAATGAGGGCGGGAACGGCGGGGAACGATCAAGAATACGGTCGGGAAACTGAGCGGCAAGCGGTGTCACTTCAGCACTGCTGGCACTCAGCCTCAGCTCCCAGGGTCGCAATGTCGAATTCCCTCCCACAACCCCCCCTCCACAGTGCCTCACCTCCTCCCATGTGTGCCCCGGGGTCAGGACCACGGGGGTCAGGCCTGGGCAGTCTGCTGGCTCCCTCCCCTCCAGGACCTCTTGGACGTGCAGGTAGGAAAGCTTGGCGCAGGAGTGGATGATGCTCCTCCCGATCCATGTGCTCCTGAGCAGCGGTGGGAGAGCGCTGCCTTAAAGGGCTTCCCTATGGCATTGAAGGGGCTTCCCTTCCAAAACACGGTCTCAGACTGTGCAGCACTGGTGTCTGGAACATGTCTCACCGAATGCTGCCGTCTGCGCCCATGTCCCAGACGATAGAAAAGGCGAGGCGATCCACCCCCGCGTTCAAGCTGCATGGAGGGGGGGGCACGGTTGGGCTTTCCTATGTCTGGGGATCACTGAATTCATACAAAAATGCAAGACACATCAGCATTCACTTGAAAAACTCGCATTCCTCTCTGCACCCTACTCAAGAATGCATTCGTCATCACACGCCTCGCTCAACAACGACCTGCACAACATCACAGCGAGGCCCCGCACCCAGCCGCCACCCACCTGCACAGCTCCTCGCAAAGGAGTCGTGGCAGCATGGGAATGACATTGTGCACCATGTAGACACTTGTAGAGCGGGTCAGGGCCTCCTCATCCAGCTCAGTCGCATGCCTGAGACAGATGGATGGTCGACGGCTGACGCATGAGTCACCAAGGAGGCTACAGGATGGACCAGTCCTGCTTGGCTCTCACCTTTCCTTCTTCTAGCCCAAGCCCCACTGGCATCAAGATCCCCATCCACACCCACTCACAAACCCACCCACCTGACAAAGTGGGACACGTCTGCGATGTGGACGCCCACGCGGTAGCTGCCACCCCCCAGTTCCTGAATGGACAGGGCGTCATCCAGATCCCTGGCAGTGGGAGGGTCTATGGAGAAGGTGCGGGCGGACCGCAGGTCCCGACGCCCCACGCATTCTTCTTCGCCGATGCGCCAGGGAGTCTGGGGCAGGCAGGCCATCACCTGCAGCCATATAGTGTGGGCAGGAGGAGATCATGGCGAGCACATGCATGGGGTGACGAAAAGACCGCGCATGGAGCATGCACTCTCTGACGCCGGCTATACAGGCTTAGACTGGGAGTGGACACTCGAAGCCAGGCGGTACCATCTCAAACCGTTCGTTCCAACTTCCAGAGGCACACCCAGGACCAGTATACCTTGCTGTCGAACGAGTCACCCTGGGTGATGCCTTCGCTGGCCAGACAGGCAGCAGTCTCACTGAGGAGGTCGCCAGCCTGCCCCAGGCTGCCTCGCACCTGGCAAGGAAGAATGCAATATATGTGTGAGGACCATGATGCAGGTGCAATCACACACCAGCATGGAGTTCCCTGGCAGACACGCAATCAGGCGCTTTTGGTAGTACAGCACCTACACAAAGCGAGCGTCATCTCCTTGCCCATACGGCAAGAGTTCCACGCTGAGCCCGGGGCTGAATCAGGCATCAACTCACCTCGGCCGTCGGGCACTCCATGCCATCCTTCCACTGGAGGACACGACCCGACACCAGAAGGTGCTGGGTGCCAGTTGCAGCAGCCATGGCCTTGGAGAGGAGAGAGGAGGAGATTGTCGAAGAGTGTGTGGCATTGAGTCCACACGGGGGTGGGGAATGGAGGGTGCAGCCAGGAGCATTTCGTCGTTTCTTCCCAGATTCTCTGTACACCCGCATCCGTACACGGTGCCCATGCAGCGTCATGCAACGCAGGCTCCACAAAACTGCCCCCTGATCCGCACCCTTTTGATCGAATCGGGGAGGCGGGAGGCATCCACACTCATCCTGGGCAGGCAGGGCGATTTGGGGACGAGGCAGAGCTGTCTCGTCCTGGGATCGGCCAGGAGCATGCCCACCACGCGTTCTCGGCGAGGGGATGGCTGCAGGATGCCCACCACGGCCCCCGTGGCCCTCGCACTGGGATTGCGGCTGAGCAGCAGCTGCAAGTGGCCCAGGAGAGCCTGGGGGGATGCCGCGCTGGGAGCTGGCGGGGGACATATGAGTCAGGCTGAGTCAGCGTGCTGGGCCTGACATCCAGATTTCGATGCAGGATCCAAAGACGTGATGCTGCGGATATGTTGCACACCCCATCGCGATGCCGCTGATGCATCCAAAACATATGCCCCCGCCTACCTGGTTCCAGGACCAGGGACTTGTCAAGCTGGGATGCCAGCTGGTGTACGCCGTCAGTGCCAAGCGGAGTGGATGGCAGGGCTGCTTGCTTGGGGCCCTCTGCCTCTGGATGCTTCTTGGAGCCATGGGGGGACGATGCGCCTGGCTGCGGGACTGGAACAACAGCGCCGCTGCCGCTTGGCGCCGCCAGAGTCTTGGCACCAGGCTGTCCTGCTGCTTTGGCTGGAGTGCCTTCCCTAGTGGCGCCCGCGCTCGCAGGTCCTCCAGCCCTTCCTGCGCCTCTGGCAGGCTCAGACCTCACATACCAGTCCTGGAATGGCAGAATGAGCAGCGCCACCTCATCGCCCTCCATGGAATGGCCCTGGGCCAACGCACCCTAATACCAGCGTGGGGACATCGGAGAGTTGCAGTTTGGTGAAGTGCTTGGGATACATCCCGATGATGACTACCTCCATCGCCGCACCTTGATAAGGATGTCGTGAGAGAGGCCCGGCAGGGTGGCGAAGGCCTGGGAGGTATCCGAGGCATTGTAGCGGATCACGGCACGGAAGAGCGTCCCTCTCTTCAGGCCCTGCTGCAAATCTGCCGGGCTATACTTCTTGATACTCGGTGCTCGGGGGGGAGGGAGGGTTGGAGGCCTCGGGAGGGACAGCACTTTTGGCTCGGATTTCGAGACGCCCTGTTGCACCTGTGCGGCAACGGCTGCCGCTTGGGACTTCTTGCCAGCTGCCTTCTTCGCATGATGTTGCTTGCTGCCTGAGCCAAGGCCCTGTCCTTTGCTCTTGGCACAGGCTGGAAGTGTCTGCTGTGCTTTGGGGGGCACTGCAGTTGTCTTTGAGGAGTCAGGCTCCGCACCCGAGTGCTTGCGACGTCCTCCAGAGGTAACGCCTGGCTCGGAGGTGGTGTGCTTCGCTTTTGCTGCAGCCGCAACTAGAATACCTCGTCTGCCTTTCTGTGCCGGAGGTGTCGCCTGAGCAGATTGATGCGAACTCTCGGCAACCAGCTGCACCTCCTCGACGTGTATGGGATGGGACTTTAGCCGGTCATTCTTCGACATTCAATCAATGCAGCACACTCAAGGTGATAAGAAGTGGCGGAGCCTACTCCCGGTAAGTGATCCGTCGGACTGGAACCGGTCGCTCACAAGAGAGATGTTGGGCAGGGCAATGATAATTGGGAGTTGTACTGCTCTCACATGTACTAATTCGTGATGCGTGAGATCGTGGGGTCGGTATGCGTTAGCATCTATATGTGCGTCAGGGCGCGATGTCGAGGGCGGGGCTTAAATTGCAGGATGTCCCCATTCAACAAAAGTAATGGTTTCACTCGACAAGGTTCCTGCAACAAACTCGGTTGAGTAGCCTTTTGAACGAAGAGGAAATTCATATGTTTCTTATGACTGGACTCTAAGATCACTGTCTGAAGATGAAACCCTTGTTCATCGATGAAACTTTGCACTGAGCAGGCTCATCGATGGAATGACCATCCTCAAGTCCTCACACTCGTAAGCGAACAGATTAAAAACCCAGAGCTGCAGATTATTTGGATGAGAAACTCCGTACGAACACCTTTGCCATCTCCAAAAGGCTTAGACAGCCAATGAACGTGCACATAATGGTGAGGGGTAAAAGGCTCCAACCTTAGTTGTGGACTGGTGCAAATCAGGGGCTTATCTACCCCCATTACGTCCTGATATGTAACTGTGGGAAATGGAGCGATATGTTTAGCCCCCAAAGCTTGCTGCCCATTGACGAGACTGTAAGGAACAACTATGCATCAGTTGTTATATGCCCCTTCCAGTCTACACCAGGCCTTCGCGAAGAAAATCATTCCCTGATCGCACGAAATGTGGATACAGGGCTGAGTCTTTGGCATCGCATTGCCTTAGGGACGCCTTGATCGAAGGTCAGTGGACAATGTTCTTCGTACAGGTCCCTGACCGTACACAGGGGCAGTTCTGATTCTGCCTCGGCGCCCTCAACCACCTGCCCATGCGCCGCGTTGCATCTGCATGAGGTCACCTTCCGTTGCACATTGTAAGGAAGGTTGTTGTAACTTTAAGGCTCTCAGCGCACACGATTCGGCGTGCGCTTGCATCGTCTGAAACTGCACGTCGTTGGCCTCGCACCCCCGTTGCCCAGGTTCAAGGTTGCACAGTGACCTCATGGAGGTATGGCGGGCTGAGATATAATACTCCATCATTATAAGACCGGAGAGGCCCTTCCTGGCATACTTTTCGGAGGTCAGGGCTCTCGCGCGGTACGCTATGGTGGGCCTGCCGACGGGCTTCAGGACACGCACGCGGTCAGAGAACTGCCTGCCCATCATCCACGACTCGGCAGGTGGGTGGTATACCTAACAAATGCGAATGCGACCTCCTCATGCATCAGATTGCACGCTCGGTGCTGGTGCCCCAACGTAATGCAGCTCCCTCTTCATCGCACAGGGGCCTCCCCGGGCACGACCGACTCCCAGCATCGCCGGCCGCGCCCCAGGCCCTCCCATGCCACCCTGCTCAAATGCCTGCTGGGCGTGTCCCTGGCGATGCTGGTCACGTACGAGGTCTGGCAGCTGGGCGGCTCCGGCGCCCAGCTGGAGGGCGGGCTGCCCACCCCGCGGGGCCCCCTGCCCGGCCACCGCGCCGCCGCGGCACGGGGCGGCCGCGTGGAGTTTGGCGCGCCGGGGCTCTTCGTCCCCCTGCAGGACGCCCTGGACCTGGACTTCCCCTCGCAGCCCGCCGAGGTGGCGCTGCTCGGGGAGCTGCCCCCGGGCGGCAAGCTGCCTCCCGGGAAGAGGGACGAGGCCCAGATGACGCTGGGGGATGTCATGAAGCTCTACGTCGACACGGCCGGGGACTCCGACCGCAGGAGGCTGGCCGGCGACGATGTCTCTGGAGAGGATGAGGTGAGGATGCAAAGGTGGGAGGGTGGTGCTTTCATCATCAGCGGGGATGTGGCCCAAGGGCATCAGGGGGTGAGGAGCCGCCGCGGCCGCACACACCCACAGCTCTCCACCGACCTCTACTCCTTGACCAATCCATCTCCCCGTTCCTTCCCGTGCGTGCAGCCTGAGGGGGTGGGGGACAGCGTGCGCATCTTGGTGGGCGTGACCTCCGCCTGCTGCTCGCCCAGGGCCCGGGCGAGGCGGGACTCGGTGCGCCGCACCTGGATCAAACGCACGCGCGCCCTGCACCCCAACGTCGACATCGTCTTCTTCTTGTCCCAGCCTGAGAACGCCAGCGTGGCTGCCAAGGCCCTGGGACCCATCGCGGTGGGTGGGGTTGGGGGCCGACTGGCCTTGCCAGGGTTGCTCGCAGGGGATGGAAAGGGGGGAGAGGGGGGATGGTGCAGGGTGTTACCTGAGGTGATCCAGGATTCTGTCTCCCTCGAGGGCTGGCGTGGCCCATTCCCACGGCCATGCCGGTTGCGCAGTCTCTCATCCTGGGAGTCCTGCTGTGTGCGCAGGCCCTCCTGCAGGGCACAGGGCCCCTTCAGGTCCACCCATGCCGTCTTTCCCCCGTCCCCTCCCACCGCCACAGGAGGAGCTGGCGGAGCACGGCGACATCGTCATTGTGCGGGGCCCTGACACCTACATGGACCTGCCCAACAAGACCTTCCGTATGCTGCGCTTCGGCCACGCCCACCCCACAGGTCTGAGCATCTTGTTTTGGAGGGGGGAGGAGGAACGGGGCATGGGCAGGGAGCCAGCCACACGTGGGTCCCTGTTCCCCTCAGGCAGGGAGAGCAGCCTGCTTGAGACGCGCTCTCACCGCGGAGGCGGGTTCCGGCCGACCTGAGCCCCACACCAGTTCCTCGTTGCCAGCCAGCCCAAATCCATACCTTCTGCACAACCCGCTGCACACAAACCCCTCCTCCCCCTTACCTCACAGGGTACACTCACATCCTGAAGACCGACGACGACTGCTACCTGCGCGTGTCCCACCTGCTCAAGGCTCTGCGCGTCCGGCCGGCGCCCTCGCTCTTCCACCGCGCGCCGCGGGACGGCGGCGGCGCGGCGGGCGGGGCGGGGGCCTCGCCCTCGGCCACGCGCCTCGCGCTGGAGCGGCTGGCGGCGCGGCAGGGCCTCACGCTGCACACCGACGGCCTGACCCTGTACAACGACCGCGGGCTGGAGGGCGGGGGCCGGGGCGGGCCTGCCACGCCGCCGCGCTTCGTGGACGACGAGGAGGGCCACTCCGTCAGCGTCGCGGCGCTGGCGGCGGGGACGCGCGCGCGCGCGGCGCGCATGCGCGCCCGCGCCCGGGATGACGAGGACGGGGACGAGGACGCCGACGAGGCGGGGACCGGGCAGCGGCGCCGCGCGCTGGCGGGCCCGCTGCCCGCCAGCTACCCCTCGCCGCCCCGCGCGCCCGACGGCCCCTTCCGGCTGTCCGGCGTGTACCTGGGGTGCATGGAGAACAAGGCGGGGTTCCACCCCATCCGCGACCCCGCCTCCAAGTGGTATGTGTCGGAGGAGCAGCTGCCCAACAGCGCCGTGCCCTTCGGCGTCAAGTACCTGGCAGGGTGGGGGTACGTCCTCTCCCGCGACCTCTTCACGCGCATCGTGCACAAGACCAACCTGTGGGCTGCGGACCCCGAGTCGGCGCCCGCCTGGTACACGTGAGCTGGAGGCGGTGGTCGGCTGGGATGGAACTGGGGTGTGGCTGCTGGGGACGCGGCCCAGGCCCGCTTGCTGATCCTAGCGCACTCTGAAACGCGCGAAATGCCAAAAGCACCTCAGCATGGGCCCTCTGTGTTTGCCACATCCTCAAGCCCTCACACAGAATCCCCCACCCTCCTCACCCTAATTCCAGGCTGCTGGCTTGGGAGGATGTCCTCATCGGCATGATGCTGATGGACGTGGTGGACCTCCCGGAGGACCACAGAGGTATGTCGTGTGGCGGAAGGGACTTGACCGCCACTTTGTCTGAAGAGCAGGCATAGGGAAGAGTCACCAGATGCTGGCAGAGGCCAGCTTTCCAGAGGCCAGCATGGCATTGTGTTACTGGCACGGAGCAACAGCACCTGCTCCAGCGGTCGGAGAACAACAGAGTATCATTACACCGGCACCTCAGTGCATGGGCAATCGTGGGACTCAAAAGGAGTGTCTCCGACGTCACCGTCTTCACCCATCGGACCCCCCTTTGTGCCAGGCTTCAGGGCGGCATGGAGGTCCTGTCCCGCAGAGACCGTGCTGAGGCACCTGGATGTGGACGCCCCCGCCCTCCTGGACGGGCTGTATGCCCAGGAGGAGTCGGGTCTGTGGGGCGCCCGCCCCGTGCAGTGCAGCTCTGGCAAGTTCCTGCCGGGCGACTACTCCGGCTGGAAGGCGTGGCGAGATACGCTGCCGTTCGTGGAGCGGCTGTAGGCTGGCCGGTCCCTCGCAGATGGGAGCTCGTTGGCCCTAGCCAGTTGAAGGGCTGCTGGGGAGCGGCAAGCCCTCGCGCGGTATCGCCTGGCACCCACCCCTTCATTCCCATCCATCGTTACCTTACTCTGCGCCGTGGCCTCGCCAGGTGCCATGCATACCGAGCACTGCAGTAGCTCCGCCTCCCTCGCCACCGTTCCCTCCCTTGCTACCCCTGCCTCCCTTCGTTGCACTCCCCGCTCCCAGAACCTTGTCGAGCACACGAGCATGGTCCTGGACATTCCTGTGTTACATCTTCTCTCGTGAACAATTGCAGTTGGAATACGTGGTACAGGGGTGTCTAGGCAAGGGGGAAATCGGCGGAGTGCGAACTGATCTTCCAGCGAGACATCTCTTTCTTCGCAGCGGCAGGGGTCCATAAAGTTTGCGGGGCGTCGAGCAGGGGATGGCCAGCGGCGCTGGTCAATCAGCAGCGTCGTGGGCGCCAGGCGCGGCAGAGGGGGTGGCATGCCACTCAACAGGTACGTCCGGGTCGAGAGCCTCCCTCCAGCTCGCTCAGCGGTGCAGGCCGAGCCTCTGAGCCTCGCCCCCCCCGCCCAACCACCTGCGTCTACTGCCCCACGGCCGAGGTGGCCAGGATGAGGTTGACCGCCACGCCCAAGAAGATGACGAAGAAGCCCGCCCAGGCAATAAGCCCGTTGCGGCCCAGCTTGTAGGAGTCGCCGGACTCAGACCAGAGGTCGGGCGTGTAGATGGGGGAGTACCCGTCCACATTCGCACCATACTTGTTCTCGAAGCGGTACACGCCGTAGCCCTGTTGATGTCGGAGAAGGGGGGAGGTTGTTGGGATGCGAGGCAATTACTTCCCAGCAGCATTCCCACACAGACTCCATGACTCACAGCTGACTACCATTACTCAGCCGAACTGATAAAGTCATGCACATTAGACCCCCTCAATAAGAGCAATGCCTGGCATTCCATGCTGACCAGTTCCTTGAGAGGGACCCAGCCCCTCCAGCACCCCCCAGTGATGTGTACCTTGCCCTTGCGTCCGGAGGCATCCACCCAGTCCTTCTTGTTCTGGAAGCGGGAGCGGCCCATCAGGTTGTTCTTCACCACCTCATTCTCGATCCCGTTCAGACCCTGCTTGGCGATGTCGGTCTTCTTGTTGGAGCGGACCAGGGTGCTGGGCCTGGCGCGGGTGCCGCTCGTGCTGCAGAGGAGAGTGCGTTGGGCGACGTGAAGGGGGGGACTCGACGGCATGGCCTCTGGGCAGCATGCAAAGAGCGGCAGCCACAGACTGGGAGGCTTCCTCCAGCACCACGCATGGGCGCCGAGGAACCCTCTCGCCAATCATTATGCCATGTGAAATCTTCCTGAGCCCCAAAACAGGGCTCCGATGCGACAGAATCTCGCCGCGCCAACAGCTCACCGCAGGGGTGCGGACCGGATCCCGGTGGGCGCGAAAGCGCTCTGGCTAGCCACAGTCTGCATCTTGAGCGTGCTGGAAGGGCGGGGCAAAGAGATGAGGATCCTCGGTCTATGCTCGGCTCTCTGTTCGGGTGAGGACCGGCATTCGATCCAAGTGCGATCGCGTGCACACATGAATGATGTGGTCCGGGGTCGAATGCTTGTAGGCTTCCCACCTCGAAATTGCAAGCAACCCCTCACAGTTTTCCACGCTCCACGAACCATCACCGAGCCCTCGGCCTGGTATCACACCCTTCCCATTCAATCATTCAGCGGCACAGTATCCCTAGCTGACCCCTTGCTGGCAGCCACCTCCTGCTGGTGCTTCCTACATCCGAGACCCAACAACATCAGGTTCACCAGCTTGCCTCCGCTATTTGCCACGGGCGAGACCCAGCATGACGAGCGTACCGGCACCGATGGTCACCTGCCCCAGCACGTCTGGCCACCCCAGCCCTGGACACGCATGCATCCTCGGGGCGGAACCCGCCAGCGCGCCCCATACGCCCGCCTGCCGCCTTCGCCAGCGGTGGACGACGCTGGAAAGCGCGGCCTCGCCATAGACCAGGGCGAGTCCGGCGAGGATGCCGCACACGTCCGGCACCGGCGACTGGCCTTTGGTCACCGTTTGGATCCAGCCCAGGGTCAGCCACGCGGATTGCCGGCCCTGGGAAAAGGGGCTGGCAGACACGCCGGCAAACAGATCATCGTCCACCATGCTCGTTCTGGACCCACCAGGGGCGGGCGCCGGCCTCGGGGGCTCTGCGAGGTAGCCCCCCACCACCTGCAGCGCGGTCCAATGGGGGTGGCAATTGCGTCAGGGCATCGGGTGAGGTGTATGGGGCATGAAGGCCCGCCACCGAACCATCACCTCTCAGCCAGCGTCAGATGGGCGGCTGCGCTGTTCAACCCCCCACCACCGTATGGCCCATGAGTATCAAGGGCACCGCCCCACCCCCGCCATGCCGACCTTGAGGGCCAGGACCAGGCTGCTCGACGTGAGGACGCCGGGCGATTGATATGCAGCAGTCAGTTTCGAGGGCGCTCCCAGTTGGTGTGCTGCCCAGGTGACAGCCACTGGGCAGGGAAGATTGAGCAGGCGCATCAACATGACAGGTGAGCAGACGATGGCTGTGCAGTCAGGCCCACACCAGTTGCTTGGCAGTGGGGTGGTGCACCCCCCCATCCTAGGCCTTCAGGGTAGCCTCCCAGAATGAACAGAGCCCGCGCAGCAAGCCTTGCAAGAGAAACTCACCATACAGCGCCTGAGAGAGGAGGGTACACGCGACCAAGGTCCAGCCAAGGTAGAATGTGCCTCGTGCGGCCTGAATGATGCATGCCTCAGGCAGGAGGGAGGCAACATTGCAGGCCAGCTGGGGCCACGAAGCATGCAGCTGCGAGGGGCGAGGCAGGGCAGAGCATTGTATCAAGGGAAGAGGAGGGGGTTACAAGGGGTACATTGGGCACGAGGGATGGGACCGATGCATACTCGTCATCATCCCTCCCAGTGTCGGCGAGATTAGGCCAGCTGCCTTCCATTTGGCGAGTCTGTTCGAAGGAAATAAACTCATGCGGGGCAAGTTCCCAGAACACGGCCAGTCCCCCTCAGCAGGCCGGGCGCACCATGGGAGCCGTGGCCAGCCGCCACCACTCTCGCTGCTCCACAACACGCCGGGGTAGAAGGGCCCATGCACCCCCGGATTTAGGGCTCTGGGATGCGGCCGCCACCCAGCCGCCGGCCAGTGCCAGGGAGAGGGACGGCAGGGAGGGGGAGGCCACCCACGCCTGGCCAATGCTCACCAGGCCTAGGCAAGGGGCAGAGGTGCGGATGTGGGATGGAGCATGCGAGGGCCGCCCTGCCATGGTGGTGTCATGCCTGGTCGTGCGCCGCAGCCACTCACTGCTGAGCAGGGCCACGTCCTGTAGGGCACTGGCGCAAGGATGGTAAGGGGCGGGGACGGTGGGCTCCAGGTGGGGCCAGTAGGTCTGCAGTGTCCTCTGGGTGGGCCACGCTGTGGGGTTGTGCCTCCCCATGCCTGCCCACTCCGTGCCAGCCCGAACCACGCTGCGCAGACTCGATGCAGCGCCACTCCACAGATCTTTCGCAGACTGAGCCACAATGTGCACGGGACTGGCATCGGCCCCACCGTGAGCCATTCCTCATGGGCAGGCCCACGGCCTGGAAGTGATCTTTGCCCAGACTTGTGGGAGGTAGATCAGGGACCCGGCTATTCCCAACTATTTTGCATGCCTATGCTCATTCCATTTATGTGTTCACTATAAAACATGAGTATCGAGCCCGCGCAAAGACTGCGAGGATGCACCCTCGGTGTATTTGCCTTTGCACAGTTCCTCCTTTCGTTGTTTGACCTACCCTCCTCAAACCATCTCGGCTTCATGTTCGGCACACTCCCTACTCACACGCTGTCAGTTCTCGCTCACCAACGCACAAATCAACAACCGGAAGCGCGTCCCAGTTTAAATCCCGCAGTTACTCTCTGAAGATGGCAGAAGCGGCGTTGTCGAAGAGCCTGGACGAGATCATCGCGGAGCAGAGGCAGAAGGAGACGACGAAGAGAGAGGTGAACAGTTCTGACCGCCTAAACGTGCTAGGTCGCGCGTGAGAATCAGGGGGAGTCGTCGAACCCATCACCCCCCTGCCATCCCTGCAGAAGCAGACCAGCAAGCGTGGAAGCAAGGCCCAGCAGGCCCCAGCTACCCGGAAAGGGTCAAGAGGCGGTCAGAATAGCTCGCGCCCGCCATCCAGAGGAGCCCCCGGGCGCGTCATCACTGTGACAATCAACCGCAGCAGTGGCGTCGTGAAGAGGGTAGGCTGGGGTGGGGGTCACCAGGGACTTGCATGTCACGTTGCGTGGGGATGGCAGCCTGGAGGGTACATGAAGTGTCCCTATCAAACCCGTGGCTTCATATTCGATGCACAGGCAGGCGATGGGCACCGGGGAAGACCCGTCAGTCTCGAGGATCCTGAGCCGAGAAACACCGAGGCCCGCATCCAGGCCCTCGAGGGCGCCGGAAAATGGGGCCACGACATGTTTGCGCGAGCGGAGGGCAAGGGCGCCGCTGGACCACGTTCCGCATCCGCTCTGGGAACCAAGCTGTGAGCTTCATGGAGGGGAGGAGGGAATGAGGAGTCGTGACCGGCAAGGAGGATCAACCTTGGCATCGTCCAGAGGTGGCCTCCCTGGCCATGCCATGCACATCCCTTTGCTAGAGCCTGCCTTGTACGGGAGGACGCTGCTGCCCACGCGTCGAGCTCAATGGGCTTGGCATGGAACTTCCCAGCACGATTCCGGCTCATTGGGACGTCTGCTCAGGCCTCGCTGACAGCAAGGCTGTGGTCCTGCTGACAGGCGCCGCCAGCGTCTGGAAATGTCCTCGGTTGTGCGCGGCCCCCTTGAGCCTCCCAAATCTCTTTGCAGGTACATTACTAACCTCCACTACGACGTCACGGAGGGCGACATCAAGGTGCGAGCGGTGGACTCTGAGCCTAATAGACAACAGGGAAGGGAGGCTGCAGGAGGGGGGAACTTGCTTCCTGTCCGCTCCTTTGTGACCATGCTCGCCAGCCTGACGCATGCTTAACTTTTGCTCAATCTGGTCTTTGCTGCGCCGAGTGCCAGCATACTGCACCTTGATTGGTTTATGCATGTGCCCTCTATCACATGGGTGCTGATTCTATACGCTGCAGGAGCTGTTCTCAACCTGCGGCGAGGTGATCCGGCACAGAATCATCTTTGATGCAAGGTGAGGAGCTGTGCTGAGTGGAGTGGCAGCGGAATTGAACCTGATCAAGGGCTTGAGGTTTTGGGCATGCCATGGGCACCGTTTCTCCGTCTGCAAGGATGAGAGAATATGGTTCGTGATACATGCAGAGTGGTTTATTCTGTCAGTTGCCCATTTAAGAACTGTTGAAGTGATCCCTTCCCCCCCTTACACATGCCAACACCAATCACGTACCTGCCGTCTCCGAGCGCAGTGGGCGCTCTCAGGAGGCCGGCTTCGTCGTGTACCAGCACAAGAGCGAGGCCGAGGCAGCACTCCAGCGGTACAACGGCGTGGCGCTGGACGGGCGGGTGATGCAGGGTGGGGGGGGCGGGGGGGGGGGGGGGGGGGGGGGGCCCGGCGCGTCGAGTGCAGATTGAGTTGGCTGAAGGTGGGAGGACTGTCAGCGCCAACAAGCCAATGTTTTGGGGGGAAGACCATCCCCGAGGACCCAAGGGGTGGCAAGGGGGCCTGGATGTGCCCTGTCATGCCCCGTGGCGTGGCTGCAGGGCGTTTGCAGAGGACCGATCCTGAACCCCATAGGGAAGCACTGTCACCTGGAGGTTGAAGTGGGTGCGATTGACCTCCGCGCGGCAGTAGCCAAAGGACGCAAAGGTGGGCTGCCCGTCAAAGGCGTTGGGGGCCTCGGGCTGGTAGAAGGGGGTCAGCATGAAGCCGTTGTGCCCCATGGTCACGTGGATGGGCCCCCGAGCCACGCCCTCGTCATCGTAGTCGACGCAGGTGTTGTTGTAGACGGGGCAGGTGCGCTGGTAGTTGTGCAGGTGTCCCTGGGGGGGGGTCCATGGGGCCAAGGGGGGTGAGTATGCCGGGGGCCGGATAGAGGGTGGTGATGTGGAGGGACCGAGGGAGGGGCGACTATGATCAGCAGCGAGGAGTAGGGAGCCAGCATTAGACTCGGTGGTTGGAGGGTGGCGGTCCTTGTCAGGGACGGGCATGGTCTTGGGCAAATGCAAGGCAGCGGCTTGCCCTCGAGCGGATGCTTCGAAGAGGAAGCGTCCAGGGGTTGCATGGGAAGAACTGAATGGTCCTGCAGCGACCCCACCGCTGACAGTTCCTGCTACCCCGGCCAGCACACCCCATCCCTTGATACTTGAGAGCACGCCCCCACACACCTGCCAGGTCATGTCGACGCCGTACTCGAAGAAGAGGTCCTCAAAGGCGGCGCGCATGTCGGCCGCCACGACCTGGCTGGAGGTGGGGGTGAAGCCGTAGTACGAATCCGTGTACATCATGCGGTGGAAGCCGACCACCACCCAGGGGGTCACGCTGCGGTTGACGGCGGCCAAGTCGGCGACCGCACTGAAGATGTACAGGCATATCGTGAAAGGTCTTGACACATCTGACTGCCATGCCTGATCCCTCGCTCTGTCGCAGATTGAGCTGATCCCGCAGAGCGCGGGAGGTCAGGGGCAGGGCGGCGCGCGGACGCTCTCCAGCGGTGTCAGGTACCTGTAGTGGATGTTGAAAACAGGAGGGTGTGACCACTGGGTCAGTCTGGGCTCGTGGCAGCCACCCCTTGTTGCAAGCAGCTATTCTCGTGCACCTCGACCCTCCCTTGCGGCCCCCTCTCATCCTCCTTCCAACCCCCCCCTTCCCCCTCCCTCCCCGGCAAGCAGAATCACGGGCGACCCCGGTCAGCCTGCGCGTGGAAGGCTTGTGGGCAACAACCGGGCCTTCCTCCAAGCCACAGACGGCGCCCGCACATACCAACCCCGCGGCCGGGGCAGCGTCCGGAGCAGGGTGGTCGCGGCGGGCGATGCCATGCAGGAGTGAGGCGCGGCGCTGGCACGACAGTCTCGAGTGCCTCCCCGACTGTTGAGCTGGGAATCCTGTGGAGCTGGAGCATGATGCTGCCAGGCCCCACCTGGCTGTGCAGGCACAATTGCAATGGAACAAGCTACAGATGTTTGCATTTGGCCTGGGTGCCACAAGGTCCTGCATGACATGTTGCATTGGTTCCTCATCCCGGCAAAGTCACAGCTGCAAAGAGTGTCACCGAGGGGCCTGCACGGCCGGTCCATGAGGCCTCACAGATGGCCTCCTGGGTGAGCGGAGGGCTTCTCTGTGTCTGCACAGGCTCACCGCATTCTCTCAGGCAATGTCGTTGGGTGAGTGACCTATATCACGCCTTCACATCTTCTCTCCTCCTCTGGGCTGGGAATTCTGCTGCACTTCCATCTCCATTCAGGCGCTTGTCACACACAATGATCACTACAAGACGCAAAGTCCTCCCACCCAATCACGAACATCCCATGCAGTCTGCAAAGACACACACAAAAGAAGGGGGGGTTGTGTAGTGTGGTTCCCGCGGCGGCTGCTGACCAAGCAGTTGCCAGGTATGGATCCCAGCGACCTCGAGTCTCTGGTTGCAAAGTGAGAGCACGAGCGCCGTACAGCATTGCCTCCTTCTTCACACAATAGAGTCGATGGCGTCAACATCAAGGGGTTGGTTCTTGTCCTTGATGGCCTTCAGGATCTTCGCCCCAGCCACGGGGATGGCATCGTGCAGACGAGTGTAGGCACTCCCCAGCTCACTGGCAAGCCGCGCCAGCCACGCCCTCACTTTCGGATAATCGGCCAAAAGGGACTCATAGCCGGGTTCCTGCACGCAGGGTTGTGATGGAGCAGAGTGCTGTCATGGAACGCAAGAAATGCACCCATGCGGGGCGACCCAGATCCGATTCATGTGGATGACAGCTGGCGGGGTGGTGCTCACTCAATGGACCTTGGGCTCACCATAGGTTGAGGAGTGAGACCTTCTTCCCAAGGCTCGGAAAGCATGCTTCCCAAGTGTGAGCGGAAGTGGACAGAGCTTGCGCGTGCCCCTTCAGAACCCCACTCGCGCCCCAGTGTCCTCCCTTGTTCCCACCTTTCCACCAAAGTCCTGGAGCCGCAGCTCCTCGACCTCCGTGGCCAGCAGGAGGTCGGCGATGGACACCTGCTCCCCCGCCACGTAGTCTGTGGCAGCCAGCCAGTAGGTCTCCAGGTCCTTGAGTGCCGCCTTGAGGGTGGGCAGGGCGTGCTGCTGGGTGACCTCCTCACGGGCAGGGGCGCCCATCACCGGTTCGAGGACGTGGGTGGACAGCAGCGTCACGCTGCCATTGCGCAGCGTAGACCCGTGCCACGTCAGTGCGGAGTTCACCCGCGCACGTGCCCTCGCATCCTCTGGCGGTGGGTGGGCACAAAGTGGGAATGGGTGAGGCCCAGCCACCTACATAGCACTCCTCGCAGCAACAGCAGGGGGCGTGCAAATCCTAAGCCAGTTGTAGAGCTATGCAAACTTAATGCATGCATGAAGCAGGAAATTGCCACTCACTGGGGTACCAGTGCTCGGGAATGCCGGGCTGGGTGTCGGCGAGGTAGGCAAGGATGGCCCCGGCTTCCGGCAAACCGAAGTCGCCTTCCTGTCGATCGTACGACACCCTAGGTGGGTTACATGTGAAGCTGAAACAGCAATATCACATCTCCAGATCCCCAATAATGTACTTCACCGTCCATCAATTTCAACCCCTTGACAAGAGCCGACCAGGAGGCATGAGATCGACAGGCTTGCTCGACGTACCTTGAGGAAGGGGAGCTTTCCCGTGCTGTTCACCGCCAGGTACGCCTCGCCACGATGTTCGCCCTTCATGATGGAAATGGTTTTAACTTCGGCATCGATACCTGCAGCGTCCACGAAGATCTTGACGGCCCGGCTCGGCGGACTCAAGAAGTAATAATAGATGACGGGTTTCGACATCTTCAGTTCCTGGAACTGGGGACTCGATCAACCTTGGGGAGCACTGGAAGGGTCGCTGAATAAGGAATACGTCGCTGTACTCTGCAGCACCTTGAATATAGGTCACAGAGTGACAACCTCATGCCCCGGAAAATTTACGTGATCCCCTCCGGCCTCTCCCATTGGCGCCATGATTACAAGTCAGGCTTTTTGCTGAGCCCACGGCCCTCGGGCGGTCACAGCTTCGCCTTGTCCTCATCGGATCCACCCAGGACCTGAATGAACCTGATGCGCGCCTTTCCCAGCTGCTCCTTGGCATCTTCGTAGTGTGGGGCGCATCGCTGCGACAGCCGGTTCAACCAGGACCGGACCTTGGGCACGGGTGCTAGCAGCTCCTCCAGTGCTGGACCCTCGCGTGCAGCATCGAGCAGCTGTGCCATGTCGATCTCCGTGGCCAACAGCAGGTCTGCGATGCTGACGTCTGAGCCTGCCACGAAGTCATCATTGGCGAGCCACACGTCGTTGATCGTCTGGGGTGGAGGGAAATTGGGGTTCTAAAGGTGAAAGGAGATGCGCTGCACCAATTCAGGTCCGCAGGGTTTGCTGTGATCAGGAGCGAGGTGTAGCTGGAACGGGCTTGCGGGTGCACCAGCTGCGGTGAAAATCCTTATCCTACCACAAAGGTCTCGACTTACCTGCAGGGCGGTCTGCAGGGTGGGCAGCCCGAAATCCTTGACCAGCGGCTCATTGCTTGGTGTACCCCGCAGGGGAGCCAGAACCCTGTTGAAAATGGTGATGGTGCTGCCGGTGCGGAGTGTCGACCCATGCCAGCCAAGCACGGTGTTGACTCTGGCCTGCTTCACTGGATCGGCTGTGCACAGGAGTGGGGGAGGGTAACATGGTGGGACCGAGCCGATTGAAGTGCACACCACAATGATTTATTCTGCTAGATACAGAGGCGTGCACGGACATGTCTGTGATTGGTGGCCACCCTCAGGAGCAAGCCAGCGTCCTTACCTGGGTACCAGTTATCAGGCACCCTGTTGACAGTGCAGAGGTAGATCAGAATGGCAATGCTGTCGCCAATGTGCACGTCGCCGTCCTAAAGCATCACAGCCATGAGGTGCGATGGAATGAGTAGGGTATCTCGCAACTCCAGGTCTGGCGCAGGGTGTCATTGCTTGCAGCCCGTCACATCCCTGACACCACTCTCACCACAAGGTAGGGAAGCTTGCACAGGGGGTTGACGGCCTTGAAGTCCGCACTGCGATGCTCACCCCGACCGATACTGATTGGCTTGATCTCGACATCTATGCCGTTCTGTTGACAGAGGACCACCACGGCTCGGCATGGCTGGCTCAGCATGTCGGCATACAGGACGGGGCGCGGCATGGTGCTCCGGTCTGGACGGTCTCGCGGGTTGCTTCGGTCTGCCTCCTACTGATCATGAATTTGTGAAGGGTTGAAATAGATGGTGGCGAACCCTTGATGAAGCCGCATGGGTGTCAGGGAGGGTTTATGCAACATGCCGCGCATGCTTCCAGGTGGGTCGTTGCAGCTGTAGATTCCGGCCAGCGGCCGTCGCCGACATTCCGGTGTCCAAGGACGATGATGAGCGGATTTGAATCCCCCCCGTCCTTGCTGAGACTGCTTTGATCTTCGAAAACAGCCCCATTCCACGTCTGATCGCCCTTCACCTCCTCATCGTTCACACAACCTGCGCATGGCCTCGCCGCTGTACGGCACCTCCAAATCATGCCAGCCAAGGCGCCAGCCGGGGGACGAGCAGCCCCGCGCCGACCAGCGTCATGCTCCCCATGAGAACCAGGGCGTACCGCGCGCGCGCGGCGCGCGCCAGGTACCCTGCTTGGGCCCTCGTGTGGTGCCTGGACAGGAAGGGCGCCAGGCTGGACCAGGGCACCACCGTCCGACCTGGGGTTTTGGTGTGGGGGCCCCCCGGGGGGGGGGGGAATACGTTGGTGTGGGTCGCCTGACGCCGTGATGATCAAGCATGAGCAGGCTCTCGAGACCCTGCGCCCCTGAAGCCAGCAGGGACCATGCGCCCAGCAGCATTGAGCCACGCAGGGCCAGTGCATCGAGCCTGGGTCGGGTGGGCCCTGGAGCAGCGGCCCCAGGGCATCCCCGACTCCCCCTTGCGTCCCGTCGCCCTAGCCCGATGGTCAGACACCCTGCCGGCGCACGGATCCAACTCGGCTCCCTGCCCCTGCCAACCCCCACTCACCACCCCTCCCTCACCCGTGTTGCCGCCGGCGTCGTGGCACTCCAGGCCCTGCGCCCCCAGGATGTCGCGCGTCAGGCCACGCAGCACGCCCTGCGACTCGGGGCTGCCGTGGCCCACACCCGTGACCACCAGCAGCGCGCGCGGGCGCTCCGGCGTGCCCGTCTGCAGGCCCGCGTACTCCAGCGGGGCACATCCTGCCGCCGCCGGGGGCCCCTCAGCCGCCTCACTTTCGCCCGTCCCGTCACCATGTGACGCCGCGGCCTCGTCCCTCGGCCCCCCGTCGCCCAGCTCGGCACGCAGCGCGGGCCAGGCCGCCACCAGCAGCTCCAGGCGGCGGTGCAGGAGGGTGGCCGCCGCGGCGCGCGACACGCCATGCAGGTCGATGTAGAGCAGCTGGCGCGCCGGCGGCTTGCTGGGGTCTGCACCCTGCCCCAGATGGCCGTGCAGCAGCAGCGGTGACAGGCTGCGGCGGCTGGGCTGCTCCAGCGCCATGGGGGGCTGTCGAGCGACGTTGTTGGCGCTTGACGCAGGGGTCGCGGCGGCCTCACCGGAGGGGGCACCGGCGTGGCTGGAGGAGCGATGCCCGGCCGCGTGCGACGAAGTCCGCAGCTGCCGGGCCTCGTCCAGTACTTCGGCTGCCAGGGAGGGGCGGGCGGAGAAGGCCTGGACCAGCACTCGCTCCGTGAAGTGGTCGGGGACGATACCTGCCACAAGGGAGGTGTTGAGCGGAAAAAGAGCTGGAATGTGGGGTGGGGTGGGGGGGAGCGAGTTGGGCAGCGTGAGTGGCCACAGTAGCAGCAGAGTCGACGGCGAGCCAGATCTAAGAGCAGCAGCTCAGAGCACATCTGATCCAGAGCAGGATCGGAGGGTACCTGCAACACAGACCCTGTCTCCTCGACAGCAAACCTTCTGCGAGCATGCAGGTCCAGACGTGGTAGGCGCGGTCGATGTCGCCGGCCACGGCGTACACACCCAGGTAGGAGTTCCAGACGGCCAGCGTCCGGGTGACCCCTGCCTGGGATGCATGGCAGGAAGGAGGGGAAGTGATGCTTGAGGGGAAGGCAAGGCAGGGGGAGGGTATTACCCTGAGGGCGTGCAGCTCCCCCTGGCAGCGGCCACTCCGCCCACCTTGGGCAGCAGGTCTTCAAACACGTGGGCGGCCCCCCGACTCGTACCCGACCTCCGGTGGGCCAGGAGCAGGATGTTGAAGGTGCGTGGGGTGGGCTGCAGGCCCTTCCTCAGCAGCTGGTGGTAGGTGGCGAGTGCGGCTTCCGGAAGCCCCGCCTTTGCCTGGGTCAATCGGTGTGCCGGGGGATGAGGAGGGTGATCATGGCCTGATCCAACAAACTCATTCCGGGAGGGGGGTCAGTGCCAGCCACAGCGACAGACATGGACCCAGCTTCCTGGGAATGCAGTGCACCACGCATGGCCCTCCATGTGCCTGCTGCATGAGCGCCCTGTTCGGCCAGCACACACCTGGCACTCCATGAGGCTGTGCATGAAGGCCAGGCCGGGGACCACACCTGCGTCCAGAGCCTCCTGAGCGACCTGGGCAGCCCGAATTGCCCAACGGCGAGGCACCCCGTACGGCGGGTGCTCAGCCTTGGCGTAGACATTGAGCAGGGAGGCGTAGTTTGCCGGGGTCATGGGGCCCTGGCGGTGCGCCTGCACACGGGCGTACAGGGCATCGCCCTTCTCAGGCGAGCGCAGCCGGGCATACATGTTGAAAAGGGCGGAGACGATGGCGGGCCTGCGCAGAGGGGGGCAGACGGGTGATTGCAGTGGGCGCACACCAAGTGCTCCCTTCAAGAGGCACTGACATCGCAGGCACCTCACTTGATTTCGCCGCCTCTGGCCAGGTAAACCTCCAGATCGGCGGCGACCATGCTGGAGCGGCCGTACGCTGCATTCTTCTGCATGCGGGGATTACGTGCGACGTTTGGCAGCCAACGTGCAACTCCTGAACAGGCAATCAATTTGGAAATTTTGCGGCATTGCAATGTTGCCAGCCGCTCCAATCTCTTCACCTACGTGCCTTGATTCTCTCAGCCAATCGAGGCAGCGCCTCAGCAGGGACGATGTTATCGGCAAGAGAAGTGCTGTACCATGCAGTACGCTCAGGGCTGAGGATGCGGGCTTGCAGCGACTGCAGCACCCTCCTCAGGCCCGTACCCTCAGTGCGGGCCATGCCTGCTACCGATGACCGCCATGCGATGCCATTACTTTATACTACTTTTTCAGCGCATTTAGGTTGCAGTATTCCCTGTTGACTTGCCGCATCTGTGCTGAAGTAAAGGCGTGGCTCGTGGGAATGCCGCGCGCCGGATGTCTGGGCGCGACCATTAATGGAGCACCGCTTGCGATTATCAGCAGGCGCATAGCCGTTGAAAATGTGTCAAGGATGATGACATGCCTGACCTGAAATGCCTCCCACAAGGCCATCATAGCAGGGGTTGCAGAAGCAGGGCTGCCTGAGGCGTCAGCCCCAGCTCATGCAAGGTCTGGGACAGGTCACTCGACCCAAACTCGCGCCGCGGAAATGTGGTGGCCAGGGTATATCGCAGGGGTACAGCCTCTGAGTCCAGCGAGTCCACAAAGTCGTACACAACCTGTGACAGAGTTATGATGACAGGACTGTGTGAGGGCAGGGTGGCCGCGCTGCAACTTTCGACTGCCCGAACACCCATCGCCCCGCAGCCGTCCTGCATAGCTTCCTGAAAGAGGCAATCCCCACACCTGCAGGTCATCCGACTCCCGAAAGCGGCGCTGGTGCATCCCGCCGTCCGGCAGTCTGATGCGCAGCGTCGCGACGTGCGGCGCCGACGACTCGGGCTCGGTCGGCAGCGCGGCGCACTTGGCCTCTCGCCTGCTCCTGAGCTCCTCCTCTGCAGCCGCCCGCGCTGCGGCCGCCTCACTTTCGGCGCGCCTGTGCAGATGGCAAGGAGGAGGGGAGTGGGGTGCCCGGTTTGAGTCCCGCGAGGCCTGAAAGGCTGGATGGGCACAGCCTGGGCGGTCCCCACTGCTTGTCCCCCGAGACCGACCTTGCTGCTAGGGCCTCCTCCCCCTTTCTTTGCTCCTCTGCCGCCTGCCTGGCTGCCGCGGCTTCGGCATCTGCCTGGCGCTTCCTGCACTCAGGACGTGCGAGGTGCGGGTGGGAGTAGGATCATGGCGTGGGAATGAGCGTGTGCTTCCGTCCTTGCACAGGACATGCACCAGCATCTTTGCCGCCGGCAACTGCAGAACTCCATGACCTACTCAAGCCCACCTGTCAGCTTCCAGACTGCTATTGAACTCTGCATCCTGCTCCTCCCTCAGGCGCCGGCTCAGGTCCTGCAAGTGTTTTGCACAGGGTGTGGACACGCCATGTGCGGGACCAAACGTCTTGCCACGCTGTATCGCACAGGGGTCTGCCATGCTGCGCCGAACAGACATCCCACCCAGCACGGAGGGTGCTCGATGGCATGCACCCTACCATCCTTCCCACTCAAGACACCCCCCTGGCTCACCCGCTCTTGTCTGAGAGCGCGCTCGCGCCAGAGCATGTGCTCGCTGCGATCACGAGCAGCCTGCGATCGGAGGATGGCATGCCGAGATCTGATGCATGAGACGGTAGCATGAGCTGCAACGCACGGCTGCCCCATCAAGCAGTCACCCCACCCGCCACTCATTGATGCAGCCAATGCCACCCTGTCCCCACCTGGAGGGTGGTCATCAGCTCATCGGCACTGCAGAAGCCCTCGGTGCATGCAAGCAGCTGAGTCCTGCGTAAGGGGAGAGGGAGGGGAGTCCTCCAAGGTCAGCCAGTAGCACACCATGCCTGCACATTGATTCAGCTTGCACTCGTCGAGCTCAGGCACTTGCTTCCTGATGCAGCACCCGGTTTCCCATGGGCAACGACACCCTCACTGGACAAGGAAAGCTCGCAGGACTGGCTAGAACCCGCTCCTCTGCCCTCCTCGCTCGCCCCCGGAGCCCACCCCTGCACACACCATGCACATACTCGCTCCTCCCACCTGGCGCCGGAGCCAGCCAGGAGGGCTGTGCAGGGGAAGCGGGCGGCCCCCAGGCTGTGAGCCAGCGCGTGTCCTTCCCGCGCCTGCACACTCCCCGCCCAGGCCAAGAAATGCTGGGAGATGTAGGTCGTCACGCTGGGGTCGCCCAGCGTGTCCGACAGAAAGCGCGGCGTGTCCTGGAAAGAAGAAAAATGGACACCCATCGCCACCCGGCACGGTGGAAGCGTTCGGCGGAGAACGCAATGGCATCTGCGTGCGTCGTTCTGAAAACAACCCACCAGCCGGTCCCACACCGGGCTCCCTGGCTTGAGGGACAGTCCCCAACTCCATGCAGCCGACGCCATGGGGCCCCGGCCCAGGGCCACACCTGGTGGCGTGGGGCATGGAGGTACACAAAGAGGAAGCGGCCCTCGGCTGCCGCAAGGCCCGCTGCCTCTTGCCAGCCACACGCCTGCCAGTCGATGGCGCTGCCAAACGCTGTTTGTAGCTCGCGAGCGAGCCGGGCCGCCGCAGCCGCCGGGGTTGCCTCGCCAGGACCCGACAGGCGGGTGGACAGGGCTGAGGCGCGGGCTGCACAGGCCATGGGCTGGGGAATGTTAGGATGGGCGGTAGCCCAGTGCAGGCAGGGAGGACGTTCATGCTAGCCCCTGAACCCCTTTCGGTGTTCCACAGCTGAGGAAAGTCGTACATGCAGCGCAGACCGCGAGTCCCAGTCCCAAACCATGGTGTCCCCTCACTGTGTCGCGGAACAGGGAACTCACTGGAAACAGCGTGCACCAGGCGGGGTGGGAGGACGGCTGCCGCCCCCCTGGACCCTGTGCGTGCGATGACAAAGGCGGCGTGCAGTACGGTGCTCAGCGCAGCAAAGGGGAGCTGCAGCGCAGCGCCGACGAGCCTCAGCAGGAGCGGCACCGGCGGCCCCATGGTCCCTCCAGGGGCCGGACCGTGGGCAGCGCCCTGTTGGGGCCGGCTCGTCACTTGATCTGCGGGAGATGGGGCAGTTCCAGAGTGGGTGTTGGGAGCTCAACTTCACTTCTTACATTTCCCGGGCCCTGCTGGTCACACCTCGCGGCCAAAGCATACCGACTCACCGTAGTACATGCTGATAGCGGCATCGAAATTCCCTCCACTGGCATCCAGGCAGAAGCGAGCCACTTCTTCTGGGCATTGCAGCAGGCCCGTGAACCTGTCCACAGTCTCCTGATCAGTCTCCATGGCGCGTGGACGGGTGCACACGTCGGATCAAACTTCCTCTCAGCTGGAAGGCAGTTATGAGGTGTCAGGGAAAGCATGTATGGCTTCAAGGGGGTGCGCGTTGTGGGTAGTGACGGTGTTGGTGCCAGGCGAAAGACAGGGCGCTCGCGCCCTCATCAGAAAGTGATCAGGAACTTGGGGTGCTCGATCGAGGTCATCGTGCAAAGGGGGCCGGGAGCAATCAGAGGTACCCGAAGCGCACCTAGAACCGAAAATAAAGGTACTGGATGGTTTGGGATGCAACGCAGCGCCCGATCGACCACAACCCATGCGGTGTTCCCAGGACGGAGTGCTGCCCTGACCCCATTACAACTTCGTGCGATCTCCTCGTCGCCAAATGAAAATCGTACCAGGCCAAGAGCTGGATTACGTGCAGCATCGAGCGGTGAACCCGGCTTGCGCCCCCCATCTGAGGCCCTCCAGCTGAGTGCCCATGTGGTCGACTCCATCGAGGAGATCAGCCGGACAGAATGGAATGCCTGCGCCCGAGGGACGGAAGAGCTCAACCCTTTTGTTCAGTGGGACTTCCTGCACTGCCTGGAGGCCTCTAAATCTGTTGTGAGTCTGTGCATGACCATGAACATCCTGGGGCAAAGGCTGGAGATCGAATTACTGTTCGGCACTGGTGACCAATAGACCGAGTCTCTCAGCTTCAGCCGTGACTCCCCATGAAACCGTAAAACAGATTCCCTCCAAGGGCTGGATGCCCCAGCACCTTGTGCTTCGTGATGCTGCCCAGGCAGACTCTGTAGTGGCCTGCTGCCCCCTCTACCTCAAGGGCCATTCATATGGGTATGTTGGGCTCTCAGTGCTGCGCTGATTTGACCAGACATTCTCTTAAAATGACTGAGCATACTTGGGATGATTCGCCATATTTCTACAGCCAGAAGCAACAGCGCTACAGCACAATCTCTGCATCTATTATTTCTCTTGCTGCAGAGAGTATGTCTTTGACCATAGCTGGGCTGACGCACACCAGCGGCTTGGCCTGGGACGCTATTACCCGAAGCTCCAGGTACAAATTCTGGGTCTGAGAATCCTTTTCAGGTCTGCCTCCCTTCCCAATGTGCCATCTCCAAGGTCATATCCCTCTCCTCCTCCCTGCCCTCCGCAGAGTTGCGTACCCTTCACGCCCGTGCCAGGCCCACGATTGCTGGTCAAACCGGGGCCCTACAAGGAAAACATCACCAGGGCACTCATGCAAACTCTGTACCAGGTACTGTTATGGGCCTGGATGGCCTCGTGTGGATACGTGGGAGGTGTCACCGCGTGCACAAAGTACTGCACTGGGAACGAAGAGCCCAGTGGGTCTGGCTGCTGCTGAGGAAGTTCTGCTTATTCTACAGTCTGTCATTCCACACCCTCCTCCATTCAGGTGGCAGAGGGCATGAACGTCTCCTCCCTGCACCTCACATTCTGCACCCAGGTGGGTACCGAGGTGGCAGAGGGTTTGACAAAGAGAGAGAGACCAGCCCCTGCCCAAGAAGCTGCGTGTACATGTGAAGATCCAAATTATCAACCTACCCCTACACACACACATGCTCCACCACCCTGTGAATGGCAGGAGGAAAGCATGTGCATGGCGGGAAGAGCAGGCGGACAGTACCTGCACCGGACAGGGATCCAGTACCATTTCCAAAACAAGGGCTACAGCACCTTTGAGGCGTACCTGGCCGACCTCCGGCAGTCCAAACGCAAGGCAGTGCGGCAGGCAAGGCCGGGTTGGTTCGTGGAAGTTTTTGCTGGAGGGATCGCAACTGGGAGCTGGGTGGCAGTGCGCACCGAATCCTCCTTACAGTACACCATCACGACCTGACCCCCCCTTGCAGGAGCGAAAGAGGGCGCGGGAGGGCGGCATCCATGTGAGCCGGCTGACGGGGGCTGACCTGCGTCCCAGCCACTGGGATGCATTTTACGAGTTCTACCTGGACACATCGTCCCGGAAGTGGGGCACCCCCTACCTCACCCGCGACTTCTTCCACCGGCTGGGTGAGGCCATGCCAGACCAGGTGGTGCTCGTGATGGCGCAGCAAGGTGGGTGAGGGAGCGGCTGGGAGGGGTTTCTTCCTCTGGAAGGGTGGTATGCTGCCGGGAGGGACTTCTCCAGTCAACAGTTGGGTACATGCATGTCCTCAAGCATCGTGCCCTGACCGGCCTCAGCCAGTGTCTTAAAACATCCAAGGATTGTGGAGTGTATGCATGAGCCTCGTCGAAATTGATAACACACTTGTGATGGCATGCATCGACTGGGTGCAAGCACGTTCAGAGTAGTTTCTCCCCACGTGTTCAACCCCACACCCTTCTACCTCCATCCCCAGGCGGGCGGTACATTGCTGGCGCGCTGAATATGCAGGGCAGCCACACCCTGTACGGGCGGAACTGGGGTGCGCTGGGGGGTGGCGACGCTCACAAATTCCTCCACTTTGAGCTCTGCTACTATCAGGCCATTGAGCATGCCATCGCTGCTGGGCTCGACGTGAGTGAGAGGGGGGGTCGCCTGGAAAAATGCCCGGATTCAACGAGGGCCTTAGGATCATGTAGTGCAGCCAGCCCCTGGCACTCACCCAAACCAGCTTCCAAAAGTTAAGACCGCACGCCACTCACCGCAACTTCCACCGCCTGGCTCTTGTCTCCACAGAGAGTGGAGGCTGGAGCCCAAGGCGAGCACAAGATCCAGAGGGGCTACACCCCATCCCTGACACACTCGTGCCACTACATCTGCAACCCAGACTTCAGGTATATGTATGCGCTTTGCTCTCATGCAGCCACTGTCTGTTGTGTCAGGGAGGATGCTAGAGAATAGTGCACGGCACAGCGCAACTTGGCTGGGGACACCCACACACTGATCACTTGGCATTCATCCCTCCCACCACAGGAGCATTGTCGAGAACTTCTTGCACAGGGAGAGGGCTGGCGTGGAATTTACCATGCGAGAGCTCGCAATGGCATCGCCATTCCGTGAAGTCCCCGGTCTGCCCCATGTATGATGCGCCTTGCCTCTCCAGACCATTCCTTGGGCGACCTGCGTCCTATGGAAAGGGTGGAATGCGCCATGCGCGGCTGGCTGGGACCTGGGACCCACAATTCTTTCCTTGGCATGCTGTCTCACGTGCAGCGAGGCAGGGGCTGTGAATCTGTACCATTACCCACCAAGTAGAAGCGAAGTTCAACGAGTATTCCAGAGGATGATGCGTCTGGTTGATCATGACCACTACTTGAAGTGGGGTTGCATACCACGTGGGGTAAACGCGCGCGCTCGATGGATTGCATCGCCTTGCGTCAAGATAACACACAGCGGATAGAAAGAAAGGCGAGTGTGCACGCTCGCGCTAAATTGTACCAGTCCCGCAGCCTCATCGGCATACCAGCTTCCAAACAGACAGCATGGCAGCACAGGTGTGTGAGGGGATGGCGCATCTGGCCAGGCTAGGGCCGGGCTCGGTACTTACCCACGCCCCAAACCCTTACTCGTGCAGGTTCTCGCAGGAGTCGCTCCCACCTCCCTGGGCTCTGCCCAGAGACTGCATGGCCCACGGGTAAGACAATGGGCCTTCATGGTGGTGCCCGCGCGGCATCGATGTGTCGGATCCTGTGGCCGCTCCCTCCGCACCGGCTCACCCGGAGCACGTTGCACCCTGGCACGCAGGTTGCAGTGCGGAGGGCGCCCGCCTACCGGCCTCGTCAGTTTCCCCGTATGCAGATCAGCGCCACCGCCACCGTGGGCAAGATCAATATCACCGACGTGAGCAGGGCGGTCGGGGTTTGGGGTGCCTGGACCCTGGACTCAGGGCTCGGGCACCTGCACCCCTGTTACAGACCCAATAGCAGCCCAAGCTCCTATATAACAGCCGGTACCTCCAAAGCAGTCCGTTTCGATCAGTGGAGGGCATCGTTTTGAACCCCCTCCCC